ACCAGGCCCCAAGAAGACTTTCCACATCAAGCAGATGTTCACCTGCACATCTGCCAATGTGGTATACTGCATCCGCTGTACCTTGTGTGGCTCCCTCTACATCGGGGAAACCAAGCGGAGACTCGGGGACCGCTTTGTAGAACACCTACGCTCGGTTCGCAACAAACAACTGCACCTCGCAGTCGCGAACCATTTCAACTCCCCCTCCCATTCCTCAGACGACATGTCCATCCTGGGCCTCCTGCAGTGCCACAACGATGCCACCCGAAGGTTGCAGGAACAGCAACTCATATTCCGCTTGGGAACCCTGCAGCCCAATGGTATCAATGTGGATTTCACAAGTTTCAAAATCTCCCCTCCCCCTACCGCATCCCAAAACCAGTCCAGCTCGTCCCTGCCTCCCTAACCTGTTCTTCCTCCCACCTATCCCCTCCTCCCACCTCAAGCCGCACCTCCATCTCCTACCGACCAACCTCATCCCGCCCCCTTGACCTGTCTGTCCTCCCTGGACTGACCTATCCCCTTCCTAACTCCCTACCTACACTCACCTTTACTGGCTCCATCCCCGCCTCTTCGACCTGTTTGCTTCCTCTCCACCTATCCTCTCCTCTATCCCTCTTCTATCCGCCTCCCACTCTCTCCCTATTTATTTCAAAACCCTCTTCCCCTCCCCCTTTTCTGATGAAGGGTCTAGGCCCGAAACGTCAGCCTCTCTGCTCCTATGATGCTGCTTGGCCTGCTGTGTTCATCCAGCCCTGCACCTTGTTGTCTCGGATTCTCCAGCATCTGCAGTTCCTACTATTTCTGATTCATTATTAAGTTGGCGAGGGTTCAGCAAAAATTTACCAGGATGTTGCCAGGACTAGAGGGTTTGAGTTATAAGGCGGTGCTGGGACTTCTTTCACTGGAGTGCAGGAGGTTGAGGGGTGATCTCATAGTGGTTGATAAAATGCTGAGGGGCATAGGTAAGGTGAATAGCAAAGGTCTTTTCCCCAGGTCAATAAATGTGGAACTGGAAAAGCATAGCTGGTCAGACAGCATCCAATGAGCAGGAAGTCAACGTTTCGGGCTGAAACCCAAAGGGTTTCAAAGCCTTTTCCCCAAGGTAGGGGAGTTCAAAAATAGGGGGCATATTTTTAAGGTGAGAGGAGAAAGATTTAAAAGGGACTGAGGGACAACTTTTTCAACTGAAGGGGACTCATATGTGGAATGAACTGCCAGAGGAAGTGTTAGATGCAGGTACACTTGTAATGTTTAAAAGACATTTGGACAGGTACATGAATAGGAAAGGTTTAGGGGGATATGGGCCAAACGCAGGCAAATAGGATGAGTTGGTCAGCGTGGCTGAGTTAGACCAAAGGGTCTGCTTCCATACTGTATGACTCTATGACCTCGGGCTGACACAATAGGTTGAGTGATGTCCTTGTGTGCTGTAAACTTCCTCTAGTGTCTATGGTTAAAAAGCTAAATTTTGAGGAGATTCTTAAAGAAAGAGAATTATGGAGAGACAGGTTTAGGTACAGAATTCCAGAGCTCGGGATAGACATATCCGAAAGTGATGTTTAGTGAGAAAAGGAAGCAGAAGATGGACAGGAGGATGGAACTGGAGCAATGCATTAAACCTATGTTCAAGAACAATTGGCTGACAAGGAATGGCTTATTGGAGCAGTAAATACTGTTTGGTTCACTCATAACTCTGATAACCAATGTAGCAAGGGTTGGGGGTTGAGGAAGGACATTGTCAGAATCCGTGATCAGCTCCCAATGCTGTGGATACTGCAGTGAGATGGGAGTAGCATTGTCAATCCTCTAGGAATACTGTGGAGCCTTCAAGAATTGAAAATTAATCTCTAGGGCACTACTGTGGGCAACTCAGATGAAGATGCCTGGGGTGGAGGGATGAGATAACAATAGTGTGTCTGACTTTCATTTCATTTGAAGAGTTTAGTTTATTAGTAACAGAAATTTTGGAAATTGGGAAGGCTCTTTCACCCAATGGTGCTGTTGGAGGCAAGAAGTTACGGTGAAACCTCCAGGACTATGTCCAGTTGGAGTTGAGAACGTGGCTGGGTAAACAGGGTGACTCTGCATCTTGACTTATTTCAGGTTATGTGGATATTGGGCTGATTCCTGAAGGTGCCCGTGAGATTCGAATTGAGGAGGTCGCAGAAGCTGGGAACTTCCTGGCCTTGCGGAGTGATGATCCCGAGAAGTATTTCTTAAATGGTGGCTGGATAATCCAGTGGAATGGAGACTACAAAGTAGCCGGGACAACATTCACCTACGAAAGAACAGGGAACCTGGAAAATCTAACATCGCCAGGACCTACCAAGGAGCCAGTGTGGATCCAGGTAGGTTTGCATTTCATTCAGAATTTACAGCTATCAAATATCTATTTAGCCTTCCCTCCTCCACAGAGAACAGTTCCAGTTCCTCCAAATCTCTCATCATTACTATGAACTTGCATCCCCTGGAACCATTCTAATAAACTTCATCAGTACCTCTCCGAAGCCTTCATTTCCTTTCTAAAGTCTGGTGTCCAGAGTTGGAGTCAATATTCTAGCTGGGACCAAGCTCGTGTTTTATGTTGATTCAGCATAATTTCCTGGCTTTTGCCTCTAATTACAATGAAGTCTAGGGTCCCGTTTGCTTTATGAATCTTAGGGTCAGGCATCAACAGTATACAGAGACGGAAAAAAATACATTGAACTGGCTGGCCTTTCATCTATGTAAAACAGCTGCCACTTTTGTCTATTGAGCAGTCAATGTTCCAGTCATGTGGTGCATGTCAAACTTTTTAAGATGTTCCTGAGAGACAAATAACATTATCTTCTTTCTTTGCAATTGAGAATCTTGTCCTTGAGGTTTTTGTTGATGCAAATGTTGATGCAAGGGAAGCCAGGGAGAGGATGTTTGGTATGATGCTGGGAACAGGCAGTACAAAACACAAGAGGTTAAACAGTAGCAGATAGTGTTGATAATGAGGAAACATCATTGTAGGTGAGGAGACCTTGTGGTGTAGACTTGGATAAACAGCAATACTGAATGCATAATCATTGTCTAAGCTGAGACCTCAGAAACCCTGAGCAGATTGGAACATGATGTTTTAATTGAAACTGCAAAAGTTTGTAAACTTCCAAAAAAAAATGATAAATGATGACCTTGAAGAAGTTGAGTTTTTGCTTATATTTGTTTCCAAAGGCTGTCAGACAGTGTCTGACAACTGACCAACTCTCCATACCTCATGTGTGAGTCAGTGTTCTCTTAGACTGTGGGACAGCTCAACAAAACTTAACCTTAGTTTTGTCTGGTGTCAGCAGAATAGCACCATCTGACAGCGGTCACTGGATGGCAATCAGAGAAACAGAAAAGAACCACGAAAATTGTTTTGATTAAAAATTGATGATGTTGTTGCAGTCAGCACACAAATACACTTCTTGTAATTTGTGGATTTCTGGTAGCATTGAGACAAAAATGAGCTTGCATCAGGGCTGTGAGAGGTTTAATCTATAGTCTCTGGAGCTCATTAAGTTCCATCTGCACATGAAGTGTACAGCTACAGGCAGCATGGCAAACACATCTAATATATTACCAGTCAATTTCTCATGCTGCACGACCTAAGTTAAGATCCAATGTCATTTTCAGTGTAGTATTGCTGCTGACTGGAAGTTAATCTCAGCGCCTGATGTTCAGTCCTTGAGTTAAAATCTGGTCTATTAGAAGTTTCTGTATCTACAGTTATAATGGAAACCAGTGAACACACTGTGTTTCTAATGGTGATACTGTAGTGCCATGCCTGATGAGAGTATGTATCATGGTGTTATCTGTTTACATAGGCCATTTTTTTAACTCATTCATTGCCAGGCCAGTATTTATTGCCCATCCCCGAATTACCCAGAGGGCAGTTGAGAATCAACCACATTGATGTGGGTCTTGAGTCACATGTACACCAGACTAGGTAAAGATGGCAGATCTCCTCCCTAAAGGACCAGATGGGTTTTTCCACTTAATCACAGATTTTTTTTCAGTTCAAATTCCTGCTATGGTGGGATTTGAACCTGGGTCCCCAGAACATTAGCTGTATCTCTGGATTAGTAGTCTAGTGATAATGTCAATAGGCCATCACCTTCCCATTCATTCTTATTGAAACATGGACACAAATATTTAAAATGGAAACAAGAGTTATCATTTTTAAAATATATTAGTGATACATAATCTTTGAATATCAGGGAGAACCAATTAAAAAGTTATAATAATCATATTTCCCAGTTAGTTTCCTAATTAGTTACAGATTACAATTAGACAGTGGTGATCTCTGTTTAAGGAACATGGGGGCAGGAGGAGGCCATTCTGTTTCTTGAATCAGTTCTGCTGTTCAAGTTGATCTGTATTTGAATTCTATTTTGTCACCTTGTTCTTTAATAGCTCAGTTGGCTGGTCAGCTGGTTTGTGATGCAGAGTGATGCCAACAGGCAGAGTGAATTCTGCACTGGCTGAGGTCACGGTGAAGTCTCTACCTTCTCAACCTTGCCTGAAGGGTAGTGACCTTCAGTTAAATTCATCTTGTTGTCTCTCTCCAATGAGACAGCAGCAGTGTAGTCTACGAGGTTGGTGCTGATTTAACCCTTAATACTCTTGCCTGAGGAAAAATCCATCCACCCAGCTTTTAAAAACATTAATTGACCCACCCACCCCCAACCTCAATAACTTTTTGGGAAAAGAATTCAGGAACTCCTTTTTGACATCATGACTGATCCCTTATTTTAATTTTGGTGTGTTATTCTGGTTTCCCCCACCAGAGGAAATAGATACTTTTCATCAACCTTATCAATACTTTTAATCATCTTAAACACCACAATTAGATCACCCTTAATCTTCAATATTTGGCGGAATAGATGGCTCATCTGTGTGACCTCTCCTCCCAAATTAAGGTTTAAATGAACTGTAAAAAGCTAAAGGACACTGATGTTAATCAACAGAAGATTGCCTACTTTTGATAAGCTTGAGGTATCAGTTAGGATTCTCTGAAAAAGGCTGGTCTCTTTGGAGATTGGGACAGGGCATGAGATAAGGATGAGCTGCAGGATCAGCTTGGATTTGATTGAATTGTGGAACAGGCTCAAGGAGTCATGTGTTCTAGCTCTGCTCCGATTCCTTATGTAACGTTGTGTGCCTTGTATGAATGCACATTCTGCCACATCAGTGATTGTAGTTGGACAGTAGTGAGGTCAGCTCATTGCTCCATGTATTTTAACATGACTGAGAGAGAAAAACAGCATGTGCTGTTAGTTGTTGCCAAGTTTTATGAAAATACAAACTGCTGTGGCTGATTTATAGCTAGTCTGCTTGTTCCCTGTGCTGTTTGTAAATCATCATTCAATGTGTTTTTTGAAAATATTAAAGACCTTTGTGTTTTGGCCCAACTTGCTCTCTCTCTTCCTCAGTTCTTTTCTCACCATGTCACTGTTCCTGGCTCTCACCCTCTCTCTTTGTCTCTTACACACTCTTTCTTTGTCTCTTGCTCTCAGTCTCTCCCACACTCTTTCTCTCTCCTGAAGTCATTGATCTGTGCTTGGCTATGAGTTTCACAGAGAACATTAGCAGCCTGCCTAAATTGACAGACAACTCGTCAAGTGTGACCAGCCCCCCTCCACCCTACACAGACAAAGAGTCTATTCAACCACAGAAAGCATCACGTTTGACTGAATTCTTTTCAGAGGCAAATTCCAACACTTGGAACTGGGTCACAGGACACCAGTCTGGATTCGGAAATGTTTTACTTGTTTCTCCCTCTTAGCCAAAGAACATGAAAGGAAATTGTACGCGTCCAACTCGCAGCTGAGGTTATATACCTACATGCAAGCCGGGAAGTGTATCACTGACCTCCTGATATATTTGTTAGAATTTGCAGAAATCCAGTGAATCGATCCCAAGTTCCAAATTGGCACAGACTGAATGAAGAGGCGAACAGTAAACATACAGATACACATCAGCCAAAAAGAAACTTGTATTTGGCTAAGGAACTTTAATATAGCTCCTAAAAACAGTAATACTGACCAGAGATAGTAGGAACTGCAGATGCTGGAGAATCCGAGACAACAAGGTGCAGGGCTGGATGAACACAGCAGGCCAAGCAGCATCATAGGAGCAGAAAGGCTGACGTGTTGGGCCTAGACCCTTCATCAGAAAAGGGGGAGGGGAAGGGGGTTCTGAAATAAATAGGGAGAGAGTGGGAGGCGGATAGAAGATGGATAGAGGAGAGGATAGGTGGAGAGGAAACAAACAGATCGAAGAGGCGGGGATGGGGCCAGTAAAGGTGAGTGTAGGTGGGGAGTTAGGAAGGGGATAGGTCAGTCCAGGGAGGACGGACAGGTCAAGGGGGCGGGATGAGGTTGGTCGGTAGGAGATGGAGGTGCGGCTTGAGGTGGGAGGAGGGGATAGGTGGGAGGAAGAACAGGTTAGGGAGGCAGGGACGAGCTGGACTGGTTTTGGGATGCGGTAGGGGGAGGGGAGATTTTGAAACTTGTGAAATCCACATTGATACCATTAGGCTGCAGGGTTCCCAAGCGGAATATGAGTTGCTGTTCCTGTAACCTTCGGGTGGCATCGTTGTGGCACTGCAGGAGGCCCAGGATGGACATGTCATCTGAGGAATGGGAGGGGGAGTTGAAATGGTTCACGACTGGGAGGTGCAGTTGTTTATTGCGAACCGAGCGTAGGTGTTCTGCAAAGCGGTCCCCGAGCCTCCGCTTGGTTTCCCCGATGTAGAGGAAGCCACACCGGGTACAGCGGATGCAGTATACCACATTGGCAGATGTGCAGGTGAACATCTGCTTGATGTGGAAAGTCTTCTTGGGGCCTGGGATGGGGGTGAGGGAGGAGGTATGGGGGCAGCTGTAGCACTTACTGCGGTTGCAGGGAAAAGTGCCGGGTGTGGTGGAGCTGGAGGGGAGTGTGGAGCGGACAAGGGAGTCATGGAGAGAGTTGTCCCTCCGGAAAGCAGATAAGGGTGGGGAGGGAAAGATGTCTTTGGTGGTGGGGTCGGATTGCAGATGGCGGAAGTGTCGGAGGATGATGCGTTAAAAAAAAAAAAAAAAAAAAAAAAAAAAAAAAAAAAAGGGGATTCTTTGTTTAGTTCTTATTGCGTGGACGGGGTGTGAGGGATGAGTTGCAGGAGATGTGGGAGACACGGTTGAGGGCGTTCTCGACCACCGGGGGGGGGGGATGTTATGGTCCGGCCCGACCAGTCCCCCTCCACTGACACCCTCATCCGCTTAGCCGAACTCGTCCTCACCCTCAACAACTTCTCTTTCAATTCCTCCCTTTTCCTACAGACAAAGGGGGTAGCCAT